ATCACCATTGAGATCCAGAAAGACGAACTCTTTCACCTGTTTGTACACCCATAGCGGCGAATCCGGCCCACATAATACGGTCGGCATGCGCATCACATTCCCGTTCTATATTGAGCTTCATCTGAAAAGTACCCACTTGCATTCAATTGGCCATTCGTCAACAATCAATATGGTGCAAAAAAAATTTTGTAGTAAATAATAATGGCAACTTCATAGCTAAATGGAAGGTTCAGAAAATAAAAATTTGAGCAGTGGAGAGAGTAACCAAGCCGACTACTTTTTGTGCAAGGATAAGCAGATAGTTTATAGCAAATAAAAAAACAAAATTATAGAATTCTTTTGAAATACTAACATAAAAAACAAAAGAAAAATTAAATAAACAATAAATAAATATCGTTTGATAAATAAACAGATAATAAAAACCAGACCAAATAAAAATAAAAAATCAGTAAAAATCAAGATCAATTCATTAAATGGCATTCCAAAAATATGAAATAATTCCGTATGCGAGAAGGTGGAAACAGATGATTGAAAAAATCAGTGAACTATTTTTTACAGTAAATTGAGGATATGAAATAAGGCAGAAAGAAACGAATAAATTTGATTATAAATATTCATGATGAAGGAATTAGAAGTTGAATTGAAATTTTATCGAAATTAAAGGATTTCAACTATTCAAAAGGAATTAATTTGAAAATCAGATTGAAAGTTCTATTGGGTAAAAGTGCCAAAAACAAAAAGAAAAATGGTCTACCTCATGTAATGGCCGCAGCTCGGTCTCCGCCTTTTCCAACTGCTGAATCAAACGCCTTTCTCTGCCTACCTAAGCAGCATTGATCAGGTTGGCTCCAGTGACAGAATATTCAAAAAAAAAACAAACTATCAAAGGGAAAGGGAAGCAAAATTGATACTATAAAGGCCCGTCGAATTTTTGAAAACTCACTTTATATTCGTCTACACATAGAGCTGCATGCAACGAGGCAACAGTTGCCTTGAGGTCGTCAATTTGACGAATCCTAAAATCGTTATGAACAATTGTTTTAGAAAAAAGAAGTTTAGAAAAATTAAAAAATCAAATTCGATCGTTTCGACGTTGAGACTGAATAATAAATGATTTTTCAAGCAAAGCTATAGGACACCAAAAAACTACAATCCTAGCGATAATGTAAAAATACTGAAAAAGTAAAAAATTGAAGGAAAAATTAGAAGTTCTCATTCTTTTAATCGGACAAAAGCGAAAATACGGTGATTTTTGCAAATAACCAAAGAAAAGGGGTATCGGAGTGGAAATACGGAATTCTTCTTGAGCGGTCTTTTTTTTCTGAGATTTCTTCGACATGTTGGTTCTGTACGAAAAGAAAACACATTTGAAACTGTTGTGATGCAAAAATAACTCAAAGTGTGAGGTGCCATGAACAATGCATATGTAATCAATGTATAAAAAATGTATAAAGGTTAAAGGATAAAGTCTTGGGCCGTTGATCAATTCCGTCTCAGGGATGCGCTCTGCATTAGACTTCCATTCAGAATCGTAGTGGCGTATTGAATGCGTATGTGGTCCACACAATGAATTGCGGTGGCCAGTCGATGTACAAGTCAGTGTTTTCATCCTCCCAGGCTAGTCCGGTGCCAATTAACCGACCCGTGAGGAATGAAAGGTTTTTCTTGTATTATACACTTGTAGGGCAGAGGCGATATAGTAGCAAGTGACGCAATAAAGGAGGCGCAGGCTTGGTTGCCGAGGCAGATATCGATCCGGGGTTTGAACTCGTGACCATGCGTGTGTGAAATGCGCCACTTGCCACTACATCACCTCTGCCCCAACAAACGCATAACAACAAAAAAAAATGTAAGATTTATGTACCACCCGAAAAAATAAAAAGAAACTTCGAAATTCAGTTGATTTCGGAAGTATTCGAGTGAAAAAGTTGAGTTGTTGAAAATAGAACGAGAAAAAGAAGCCTCAAAGCTAAAGAAAAATATAAAAATGCTGCACTATGCTACTCACCTATCACTATCTACTTCGTACGTGGAAGCTCGTTCCGGTATTACGACGTCATAGTAGCGGTCATTTAGTCGTAACCGAAATCCATCAAATTGTAGTAGATGTTCGATAGATGTCGATGTGGCCACACGTATGCCGTCTTCAACCAAGTGATTACAAGCTTATCAATAGAGTGGGTATAGCGCAGTGGCCAAGAATTCTCTATAAGCTTTCATTTTGACTCCTGGTCAGTAGTGACAACTCTCACTCTTCTCAGATTAACTGAACATGGCAGAAATACTTTGAAGCTGGCAAGCATTTGACCCATACTTAGAACTCGAAGTTCATTACTGACGGACACGCCTTCTATGGCTTCTATGTATGACGGACAGGTCACAGCCGCTGTGTATTCCCGATACTAACCTGCTGCTGCCACTTTAGGTCCTATGAGCCGAGAGTATAACACAAATAATAAAGAGAGTATAAGGATACATCTTCGGTTCGAGTAAGAATGCGGAACAACCTGAAGATGTGCTACCTCTTCTCGTTCTGTCAAACAGGTGACAAATTTTGGATTCCCTCCAATCAGAGAAAAATTCCCAAGTTTGGAGAAGAGAAAAATTTTGAAGCGAAACTTGTGAAGAAGGGCGTAGGTACTGACTACCACATCAGTTCACACTCACACGCCACTGTGTCGAAATATCTACCGTACATTGCGTACCTGACAATAATGAGTAGAAAGGGAGCGCGAGGCGCATTCCTAAGCACTGTTTCAGCTCTCAAGAAGGGTTTCCTTACAGTACGATAGCTCAATTAAACCAGGCTGCCTTCGAGCTAATAAGAAAGTGGATCACTTTGAATTACTTCTTTTCCACTGCGCTATACTCCTCATGACAGCTAAATGACTTTATCTTCAATTACGTACCATTCGTATATACAGCAACATAATCCAGTCCGCGATCTTCTCGATGAAGTTGATCACAGAAGCTTCCGACGTCATCCGTCAACGGCCTCAAAGAAAATTGGCATAACTCTTGGCGTGACGGTAGGACGACATCCAGCAGAGGGAGACCTCTTTCGAAACGGACTGTAATCGTCGAATGAGCGGCAGGAGGTGTCGATGGAGCTTTATCGGAACAGTACGACTGAAAATGAGACGAGTAACTTTATGGTGTAACTATCAACTTCTACCTAGCTCACGGTCACTGCTATCCTACCATATA